GCCACTAAGAAACCAAGCCCCAAAAAGACGTTTCTGGCCACCCTCCGTGGCAGTGGTGGAGGCAAGACCCGCGCTCTTGAAGAAATTCGCTGGGAACTGTTGGGCATGGAGGGCGTTTTGCCCCTGGCAATAACTTACAACTCGGCGATGAGTTTGATAGGAGCAGAGCTGAAAATCAGCGCAAGTGATGAGATCAACTATGCGATGACGGCGGTGGCACGGCTGGCGGCGGTGTTCTACGGCGCGCGATTGCCAAGCGCACGTTCTGCATTGAGAACTGCGGATTGGGAGAAAATCTTTGCTGCTGCAGAAGACGACTTTCCCATCCAGCTCATCCGTGCCTTCATCAGCCACGTTTTCGCTAAGTTGAGCCAGTCAAAGGTGGAGGTGAAGAGCATCGTTATCCTGGCAGACGAGGTAGCAGGAGCAGAAGAGCAGATTGCTGCGGGCGTCACTTCGATTCTCCGCAAGGCCGTTCTAGACGAGAGCATTCTCAGAGAACTTCAAGCCACTGTTGTGATTTCTTCGTTGACCCTGTCTCCGCCCCCCGCGATTGTTTTAGCGACGTTTTTTTTGCCCTATTGTGTGGTCAGCTTTGTGTGCTGGAATATGAATAGGTGATGTAGGGTAGGCTTATTCTTGCATGACCTTCTTTTCTTAGCCAAGGCTCGGTGCAATGCCTTCTGGGAGGCATCCTGTCATTTTGGAGCTTCCGGAGCGCTTGGATGCGGAGAAGGTCGCGAAGTCTTGGTGGAAGAGCGAGGATGCTAAGTTTGCTGCGGCAGCCCTTTCAGACCTTCCTCGCCTGCTGGAGTTCGGGGCAGAGTTCCTCGATCACCTCCCGGACGATGCGACCCTCAATCAGAGCGACGTCTCGAAACTCTTCGTGCATGTTCGCCAAAGGCTTCCACAGCGCTACACGCTCCAGCTCCCTCCAGCTGCAGACCTCTATCCGGCTGTTTTCGGAGAAGAAATGAAGCGAGATGCCACTGTCATGATATACATCAAGCGGAGCCTCTTCGTGAATGCCTTGCAAGAGGTTGAACTGCCAAGCCCTGATGGCACCTCTGCGCCCAGCATCACGCCCGTCGTTTCACTTTTCATGATCAGCGCGGCTGCAAAAGCAAGCAGAAACCCTTCCAGCTTTGCCAAGCTTGTGGCTGAGTTCCCTGAGAACATCGAGCTGAAAGAAGAAGGGAGACCTTTGGAGTGCTGTGCGATGTGGTGGCTGAGGATGCGCTTGGCTACCGCTGCTGGCAAGAAGGATTTCCCTTTGGAGAAGTTGTTGGGTGTTGATCGCGCTGACATTTGCACCTATGGGGAACAAAGCCAACTTGACGAACTGGAGAGGGTGAAGTTTGCTGTTCCTCTTAAAGACCGCTTGATTTTAACGTCCCCGTCGCAGAAGAGAGGCAGGTTGCCCCAGAGCAGAAACAACGCATCCGCTTTCCTGAAAGCCTTGGAAAGCTTGCCAGCCGATCCCCAAAACGTCTGGCTTCTAGAGTCAGCGAGAAACGAAGCTTGGGATATCCTTGTGGCTGTTTTTGACACCGTTGCCAGCAAGTGGTTCGTAGCCTTTGTTGATTTGAAGGCCAAGAAGAATTTCACGGATGACCAACAAGCCGGGCATGTAAAGGAGTTAGTTGAAAAAGTGCAACAACGCGCAAATGTTGCTCCATCCAGCTTGCTAGAAGCTCTCAAGGATGAGCGGTACTGTTTCTTATACATCACTACTGCAGAGGGCGCAAGCTCTGCGAATGAACTTGCCATCACGATGAGGCGTGATGATACAGAGAGGTTTTTTGGACCTCTATCCGCCGTCCACAGTGCAATTCGTAAAGCTTTTTGAGCAGCTGAAGAGCCGCTGCTTTGATGAAAACAGTGCCTGGTGTGAAAAAAGGCTATTGCGAGTCATGCGTCAAGGGCTTATAGCCGTAATGCAGGCTCAATAAAACTCTACAAGGGGGTGTGCCCTGTTTTACTGGGTAAGATATTACATAAAATTATGTAATAATTTATCGGGATTGGTTGAGGTTGCGGGTTGAGGTTATGGAGTAGGATAATGGATAAGGTTATGGGTATAGGATGGTATGTAGGTGGTTGATTGAGTTTGTGTGGTGGGTTTAGGCTGGGGGATGGTGAGTTGGTCGGGGCTGGGGTGGTATCTTAAAACGGGGCTTGGTCTAGGCTAGCTCCCCCCCCCCGGCATGTCATGTGGTGCCTGTGCAAAGTCATGGTCCCCCCTGCATGTGGTGCCTATGCTATGTCCCATGCAGGTTGAAATTGTGCGTGCTGTATGCTCCTCGCAGCACATCGAACCGCACACGCAAACATGCCAATGTAAACCCTGAACTGCACGCCCCCGAACATCCCGCAAACATCCCCAAACCCGAAATCCACCCTACACCCCAAACCCTAAATCCTAAACCCTACACCCTAAACCCTAAACCCCAAACCCTAAACCCGTAGCATTTCCCAAGCCGAAGTCTCCTTGCGCCTGAGAGGTCCGGAACCATGGCCGCTTCGCTCGGAGTCCCGGAGCGGCCCAGCTGGGGCAGGCCAGCGAGTTGCTGTCTGATTATTATTTTTATTGTTTCATTATCGTTGTTCTTATTGTTGTTATTCTTATTATTACTATTATTACTATTTTGACTACTATTATTGTTATTATTATGTATTATTAGTGTTATTATTCTTACGAATCATCTTATTGTTATGATGATGACTACTATTGTTATTATGGTGATTATTGTTATTGTTGTTGCGTTTATTCTTAATATTAGTAGTAGCATACAGTATTGTTAATAGTATTGTTATGATGATGACTAAGACTGTTATGATGATGATGATGGTGGTGATGATGATGATTATTATTGTTAATAGTGATGCTATGATGATGACCATGATTGTTATGATTATTTTTTAATATCATTGCTATGTTTATTATTATTACTACTCGTATTATTGTTAAGATTATGAATATGTCTATTATTATGCTTTGGCTTTGGCTGAAGATCACTGCGGTATTGCGCTGGCAAGACGAGCAGATGCGCATCACAGGCTACCTGGCCCTCAGCCCTGAGAAACCCCAAACCCCTCAACCCGGATCCTTAAACCCTAAACCCTAAAACCTAAACCCTAAACCCCTAAAATTCCAAACCCTAAACCCCTAAAATCCTAAACCCTAAGCCCTAAAATCCCAAACCCTGTGTTTCAGCGACCTGCGCCCAAGGCAGGTCAGCGAAGGAGGCGTTCCCATTCCCCGAGTCGGGTCTCTCCAGCCGGAGAGAAGAGTTGAGACCAAAGGACTGAGGTCCGCGAGCAGAGCCCTGGCTTGGTTAAGGGGGTTCATATGGCTCAGGGAGTTTAGCATTGAGGGTTTAGGGTTAGGGCGCTTCAAGGTAGTTGGGGGGGGGGGTCAAGGGTTGTTGGAGTCAAGGGTTCATGGTTGAAGGGCTAGGGTCTGAGGATATGGGGCTTTGGTTGACATGTCTCGCTGGATGCATTGTTAGCTGGCATGATGAATGTTGCATTGCCTGTCCATGCCCGCCCCAACTCAGTCGTCTACATGCAAGTAGTCGACCCTAAGCCCCACGTAAGCAGTCGACCCTAAGCCCTCATCATCATGGTTGCCCGTGTTCTCTGATGCCCAAGTCTCCAGCCATCGGATGTCTGGGCAAGGGCTTCAGTCCCAAATTGTTGGGTGAGCTGCGCGTGCTTGAAATCTAAGCTCTAAGCCCACAAAGGAGCCCTCAAAGGAATCCTTAATTCAAAGGAGCCCTTCAAGGAGCCCTTATGGGCTCTGCGCGTGGGGTTCAGGGTTTGGGGGTGGCAAGTAGGAAAGCCACAGGTCTATCGCAGTAGGCTGCCATCCTCTGCTTCTGCTCTTTGATTACACAGTGGCTTATAGGCCGCTAAACCCAAAAATCTCAATCCTAAATCCTAAACCCTATAAGAGGAGTGCGAGGTTCCGCTTGCGGAGAAATTTTCTGCGGCCTTTGTTCCGGGTCATTGCTGCTACCTGCATCCGTGCTCAAGCTGCCTATCCCCCCCTCCTTTCAATGCAAGTGTCCAGCCTTTCTGTTCGTTCCGCCTAGCCGTGAACCCTGAAGTTTGCGGCGTGCACCTTTGGTGCCCCTAAACTTCTTGTTACCGGGAATTTCCCTGTCAGCGCCATCATCAGCCTTCCTCTAGCTCTAGGACATGGCTGCCACCTGTTTCCAAGGTGGAGACTTCGCCAACATGTTTCAGAGCGCGACGAAACCTCGGGAGCGTGGTGCTGGCAGCTTGACAGGCACTAGGTGGACGCGACTCCAAGGACGAAGAGCAGTTCACGCCACATAATAGTCGTCTGCATCAACTGCAGCAGGGAGAATAATGCGGGTCGGCAGGTGAAAGCGCTTCAATGCAGCGGCTACTTTGGGCACCAGTTTCAAGCAAAAAAGCAGAAATCCAGAAGCGCCCAGTGTTAGCGCCAGACAAAGTCTTGTTAAGCATGGGAAACTTTTATTCTCTGGTTTCACAAGATTGACCCGTGCTCCTGGCCTTTAGCTTCACTCTCCTGTAGGCACCGAATCTTAACTACTTCTAAGCCTCTAACCGCCCCAGGTCCTCAATCCGAAAAGGTCCTTTGCGAAGTCCCGGGAAAACCTCAGATGTTTGAAGCGCGACACCCGCCACAGGCCCACCCCTTCGACCTAGAATGCACAGGGTTTAGGGGCACATTTCCCAAGGCTTCGAGGAAAACCTCCGCATCCGGCGGTGGCCCTGGCCCCGGCAGCGGCAGGCGAACAGCGAGGTCGGCAACGGGGACAGCTGTGCCCCGGACATGGAAGGCGCAGCTGCCAGGAGAACCCCGGAGGCCCCCTGGACGACCCGAATTTTCTTCATGACATGCCGCGACGCCCATCTTTGCGATCAGGTGAGGAGTCGAACGGAGTCTAGGAGCTTGACGAGAAGTCAGACTTCCGAATGATACTAAGAGGCACGCGCCTGACCTGCCTGGGCGGCGGTACCATCCCGACCCTGGACCCTACTGGGAGTCTTGTTGAACAGACCGAAAGAACTGCAGCATGTCAAAGCTGCAGGTCTGTAAACATCACGGCAGTACACGGTTTAGAGGCACAGGCAGGCTCTCGTATATCTTGGGAGAGAGCATCATCGGCAGGCATGGCAGGCATCGTGACATGCTGTAACATGCGTGCCATCTCAGGTGCTTGCCCTACGTGCGGCGAGACCTTCCCGACTGTTTCTTGACGGCCTCTCTGTTTTCATCTCTGAGGTCCAGAGGTAGTGCTGTGCTTTGACATGAAAGACCTCAGCAGGCTGCATGATGAGACTGATGAGACAGTTCTTTTGAGAAGTCTTGGGCAAGCATCCGCTGGTGCCCCGCATCTCCAGACTGGTACACTGGTACATCCAGGTTTGTCGTGTGAGATATGCTTGAACCATGAGTGAGCATGCCGGAAGGAGGGACATTCACGTGTTACATCCCAAAGGCTGAGACGCTGAAGCGGCACTGCCGCTACAACGCTGCACAAGACGAGATCAGCCAGCTTCCAGAAAAGGCACAGGGTGCCACTCGCGGCAGATGCGGAAGTGCAGAGAACATGCTGACACAGACCACTTGGCAGTGGGAAGGCTTAGGACTTAGTCGGTGAAGACGCGACTTGCATGCGGGTTTGGGCCAGCATGCTAGTGACCATGTTGGCATAGTCCAAGTTAGCGCCTTCGCGAAACATGGCTGAATCATAGACGTAAGCGAGGTTCGTATTCATCACCATCAACGGACAGCAGAAAGGTAACAGCCGCTACATAGTAACAGGGGCAGTAGTATTGCTCTTCGTCTATCTATAGCAAGAGGAGCAGCAGCCGTGTTAGTAGTTGTCGTCGTCGTCTGATTGCCGTCTCTAGCAGGAGTAGTAGTATTAGTAGTATTACTAGTAGTAGTAGTAGTAGTAGTAGTAGTATTACTAGTAGTAGTAGTAGTAGTAGTTGTTGTTGTTGTTGTAGTTGTAGTAGTAATAGTAGCAGCAGCAAGGGATTGGCTATAGGCCTGGAGGGCT